ACACTTTTGTTTTGTTTTAATAGTTTTTATTAAGAATTTCAACATCATAAATTATCAAAAACATATCATCTTTCCCCCATTCCCCCCCCAAGAAAAACCCTCCCTCCCACCCCACCTCCCCAGACTTCCCTCAGCTCCTCCCTCCGGTTTTTCAACACAGATTATTCTCTGCATATATAAAATTGTAAAAATCCTTAAATTGTCTATCTATTATGTTAACAATAATAAATTTGTGTATGTTTATTCAAAACCTGCCAAGGAGTCCAATTCATTTTGTTGTTTCTTTAAGCAGTTTGCAGCAAGTTCCCATTCTTCTTTAAAGTCATGCTTGTCCTTGTCTCACAGTTTGTACGTCAGTTTCGCCAATTCTGCATAGTCCATCAGTTTCTCTTGCCACTGTTCTTTTGTCGGGATTTCCTCGTTCTTCCATCCTTGTGCTATCAAGACTCTCGCTGCTGTTGTCGCGTACATAAATAAGTTCTTTAATTTCCTTGGCAGGTCTTTTCCTACAATCCCTAACAAGAATGCTCCTGGGTTTTTTTACAAATGTTCGTTTAAACATTTTCTTCAACTCATTATATATCATTTCCCAAAATTTTTTAAATTTCTCTACATTCCCACCACATATGATAAAAAGTCCCTTCTTTTTATTTGCATTTCCAGCATACTTTTGGATCAGGACAACGGCCCATATAGCCCAGCTTCCTGTCCACACAGATGCCCCAATGGCAAACCCACGAGCAGGACCCGAGCTCAGCAGCCACACTTCCCTCCTCTGGTTTCCAGAAACTGGTATTCAGTAGCACTGCTGACTCCAGCTGTGAAAGCAGAGCATAGACACCATGGCTAGTAGCGGCTAACAACAAATTTAAAACAATTATAAAAGCAGAATAAATACAGTATAAAAATACATGAATAACAATAAAATTCAAAAATCAATTTAGGGGAAATAAGCATTAGATAACCCCCAGGGCTAGCTGGTTGAATTGGTTCTACTTGGGCCAGCGAGGAGCCCAGGGGAGAATTAGCTGTGGGGTCTCAGGGCAGGTGATCTTCATAAAAGGGGAGGGGGAGTGAAGGGAAATAAAAGATCAGGCTGAATTCAAATTAAAGGCCAGGCGGAATAGCTCTGTCTTACAGGCCCGGCGGAAGGAGGTTAAATCCTGCAGGGCCCTGGTCTCCTGGGACAGAGCATTCCACCAGGTGGGAGCCATCACTGAAAAGGCCCTGGTGGAGGATAGTCTGACTTCCTTAGGGCCCGGGACCTCTAAACTATGCTTATTCATGGACCTTAAGGTCCTCTGCGGGGCAGACCAGGAGAGGCGGTTTTAAATTTAACGTTTTTAAATACATCTAAGTTGGTGGCCATTGCTGCTTCCTGCGGCAGGGAAGTTTAACTATGTGGTGTCCTTTATCTTCTCCTAACATTGATCTTCATTGCATGCCCACGACTTCTAGATTTATGAGAGCTGGGTAAAAACTTTCCGCTATTCAATTTCTCAGTGGCCTTTGTCATTTTATAAACTTCTGCCATGTCGTCTCTTCTTCTCCATTTCTCTAAACTAGAAGGACCTAAATGCTGCCATATTTCCTCATGGGGAGACACTCCATCTCCTGCTGCCTCCAACAGTACAGGCAAGACACAGCCATTGTAGCTACTAGGTACTGATATCCCTCGTGCCCATGAATAAATCCATCCACTTTTTAAGCTGCCAACTAGAGCTGCCTCCCAGGGGAAGGGGGGGAAATTCCATCATTCAAACATATACAAGTCCTTTCTTGTATCTGTATGAATCTTCCGACTTTGGCTTCATCAAATGCATGCCCATGAGTCCTGGAGACAGGCATAAGGTTGCAACCAGCTCAGTTCTACTCAAGAGTAGACCAATCGGAAAGAACGGCTGTGAAGCTTGCAAAGTCCATTAATTTCAAGGAGTGTACTTGCCTGGGATGAAAGGTTGTGTTGGCCTGCCCTCTGCTGGAGGAGATGCCAAACAGCAAAGGAAGTTTAATTCTCCGAATAAAGTTTTTCCATCTCAAATTCTTCCCCTCCTCCCCCAACCTCCACTGGGCTAATTTTCCAGACCTGTTATTCTGAATTACGGTTGCAAGGCATTCTGGACGTTCTCATTTGTAATTGGAAAGGCAAGACAACAAACGTTTCAAATCAATCAGTCTTGCCAATGTTGCATGTGGGCATATAAAATGGGTATTTATTTGTTTTGATTCAACTCCGGTGATGAGTGATAATAACAATAACAAATTAATAATATTTTTTTAATTTATACCCCGCCCTACCCAGCCAAGACCGGGCTCAGGGCGGCTAACAACCAATAATAAAAACAAGTTGATTAAAATACAATTTAAAAGATTAAGATACAACATTAAAACAATTAGGGAGCAATCTCTTCATAGGAGGAGAAAGGAAAAGAAAGAGAGGGAGGGAATCAAACTGATTCTGAGCCAAAGGCCAGGCGGAACAACTCTGTCTTACAGGCCCTGCGGAAAGAGATCAGATCCCGCAGGGTCCTGGTCTCAAGAGACAGAGCGTTCCACCAGGCAGGGGCCAGTGTTGAAAAGGCCCTGGCTCTGGTTGAAGCCAATCTAACTTCCTTAGGGCCCGGGACCTCTAGGGTGTTGCTATATGTGGACATTAAGGTCCTCAGTGGGGCACACCGGGAGAGGCGGTCCCGTAGGTACAAGGGTCCCATGAAAGGCCTCAAAGCAATTTCATGAAGAAACAATTAAAGATGTAAAAGTGATTACTTGTATTCAAGACAATGCAGAACAATTCCATACGCTAAAAACCAAAAAAAACCCACCCAGCTTCCAATGCAGAACAGACACAGAGGCCCAATCCGCACTATGAACTTGTAGCAGTTATCATACCACTATAAACACTCATGGTTTTCCCTGAAAAGGATCCCAGGTCTAAATCTGTGTGTGTGTTTAGAGAGAGTTCAGTTCTTCCATTTATTGTTCCAGCCAAAGGCAATAGCAAACTTATAGCAACAGTATTAATAAATACAGAACATGCATCCACAATATAAGATGACATTCATGATGTAAATGAGAATAATAATAATTTTATTATTTATACTTCACCCATCTGGCTGGGTTTCCCCCAGAGGCAACAATCTTAAATCTATCTCAATTTCAGATTAAACCTCCACATCACTAAAACAATTAATTGTGATTTTATCTAACTACTTTTTCCAGGGTTTTTCCCCCCTGCTGGTGTACAGAGAATCACTCTCCATGCCATGTAGCTGTTATTGTCACTCAAAAGAAGCCAAGCCATTTCTGATTCGCCACAATCTTGTTTCATCTCACTTCTCCACTGGAGATACCCAAGCTGACCAATTATGAAATAAAAACACAAAAGAAAGTAGAAAGTAGAACATCATAAAAAAGTAGATACAATATTTTAAAATAATGAATGATAATAGATAATAGATACAATATTAATAGTGCTATAACAGCTTGGCATTAGCAGTAAATGATTTGGTTATATGATTAATATTAAAAAAAATATTTTCAGCATTACAGTTTGCTGCTCCCTAGATAAATGCCATTATGTATTAAAAAAGAATAGATATAAAATCAGCAATGGTACGTTATAGTAAAGTGTTGATCATGTGCTCAGTCTTCAAAGGTTGCAAGCGCCAGCTCCCGGCCTCTTGAGCGAGATGAGCGCGCAACCCCAGAGTCGGTCATGACTGGACCTGATGGTCAGGGGTAAGGTAAAGGTAAAGGTACCCCTGCCCATATGGGCCAGTCTTGCCAGACTCTAGGGTTGTGTGCTCATCTCACTCTATAGGACGGGGGCCAGCGCTGTCCGCAGACACTTCCGGGTCACGTGGCCAGCGTGACAAGCTGCATCTGGCGAGCCAGCGCCGCACACGGAAACGCCGTTTACCTTCCCGCTATAAAGCGGTCCCTATTTATCTACTTGCACCCGGGGGTGCTTTCGAACTGCTAGGTGGGCAGGCGCTGGGACCGAAAGACGGGAGTTCACCCCGTCGCGTGGGGATTCGAACCGCCGACCTTTCGATCGGCAAGTCCTAGGCACTGAGGCTTTTACCCACAGCGCCACCCGCGCCCCGATGGTCAGGGGTACCTTTACCTTTATACTGTATTGCTGTCTAAAAAAAAAATCTATTAATATTTTTACAAGCTTTTTTATTTTTATTTATAATTGCATTTCTATACCAACCTTCATCTGAAGATCACAGGGTATTTTGCAATATGAAAACACACAAATACATACCATAATAGCAAAAACAACACCCTGTCCAGAGTTTAAAAGGCCATAGATTGTTTAATTAGTCGGATGGGAGGCGAACTTACTCTCTTTTTTGTGTGTTGATTGTTGTGAACCACTGATATTTTTATAAAATAAAAATGCTCTATCCATGTACTGATCCAATTACTATCCAATTACTGATCAATCAGCCGTACCGCAAATATTAAAAATGCTTCTCTTAAAATATGCTTATTATTATTATTTATAAAATAAAAATGTATAAAATAAAACTATATTGTTGTTTTGTTGTTATTGTTATTATTATTATTATTACATAATAATAATCTTTTACAGGGCAATACAGTCAGATATAGGAAGGTTGTGGGCGTGGCTCTATCTCCCCCTGGGCGGAGCCAAGTCGGCGAGAGGGCGTGGCTCAAGCGACGCCTCGGAATCCCCTTCCATGGAGGAAGCCGAGCGGGCGAACCATAGAGGTGGAGGATGCCCCTGCCTGGGGTGGGCTTAGAAACGCCCAACCGGACGTGACGTCCTCTCCCTCTCCTTCCCTCGCTCTCTATGGGCAAGGAGGACCCGCCGCCTCAACGCGCGGAGCTATAGAAGGACGTGGAACCTGGGGGCCGCGGCGTGGTGACGCAAGCGCGCCGGAGGAGGAAAGGGGGCGTGGCGCCAGCGCTCCCTCAGCTGACCGCCGGCCATTTTGTCGCCGCTCCGGCTCTTTCCCGCCGCCGCCGCCGCCGCCGCCGCCCCGCGAAGCCCCCTCAGAGCAGCGCCGGCGGGGCCCGCCAGGGAGAGCGAGCGCCAGGGGCGGGAAGGAGGCATGTGAGGCGCCTTCGCCCGCCGCCGCCGCCTTCGCTCACCTCCGCCTCTCCCCCGCCCCCCGCTCGCCCCTCACCGCCGCCGCCGCCATGGCGCTGAAGATGGTGAAAGGCAGCATCGACCGCATGTTCGACAAGAACCTCCAGGACCTGGTGCGCGGCATCCGCAACCACAAGGAGGACGAGGTGAGGCGGGCGCTAGTCCTCATGGAAATGGAGGGGCGACCAAGGCGCTGGTCCTCATGGAAATAAATGGAGGGGCGACCAAGGGGCGCTGGTCCTCATTGGAAATGGAGGGGCGACCAGGCGCTGGTCTCAATGGAAATGGAGGGGGCGACCAAGGCGCTGGTCCTCATGGAAAATGGAGGGGCGACCAAGGGCGCTAGTCCCCATGGAAATGGAAGGGGCGACCAATGGAGCCGGTCCCTTATGGAGGAAAGCCCGGATTCCCAGGCTCCCCGTCAGTCCTCATGATGGCTTCCCTTCGAGGCGCTAGTCCTCGTGATTCCCGCACAAGGAGGCGAAGGGGTTGGTGGGAACGAACCGGGTTGGGTCTCAAACCCACAACTCCCACCACTGCTGACTAGGGGCGGTGGGAGTTGTAGCCTGGAGGCGCGAGTTGGGAGGAACGCTCAAGGTGCTAGTCCTCGTGGTTCCTGGGTTGGGAGCGCTCCTCCGTTGGGGTGGACTGACGGTGTCCCTGCAGGGTTTGGGGGACAGGCCTCTCTCGCCCAGCTCTACCTAGCATCACCAGGAATCGAACCCAGGACCTCCTGCAAGCGGAGCATCTGCGCTGCCGCTGAGCTGGGGCCCTAAAGGCGTCCAGCCCTCAAGAGTTGCAGACCAAAAGGCTGCTTGAAACATGAATTTTAGGGCAGTGTTCGAAATTAGCCTGGTTTTGCCAGGCTCGTTTTGCTACTGGCGCAGGGTCCGGTTATGACAACGCGGAGGTTTCTGGGCAAAACCACAGTTTAAAAACCTCTGCTTTAGTCCATAGCTATTTCCATTTCCACTCTGTGCGTTTCTTTTCCTTGCATACTGGGACAAGTGGATTGTTGTAAGAGCAAGCTACAAGCCAAGCAATGTAGCTGAGATTGTAGAATTGTAGGGTTGGAAGAGATCCCGAGGATCATTTAGCCCCAACTCCCTGGCAAACAAGACATTCTGTTGTAGCGACCGCAACATAAATTCAACGTATCATTGGGCGCCTAGCTCAGTTTCTAACACTGAACCTAGGGAGCTTGGTCTTACAGAGTTGGACCATAGGTCTACCTGACTGACAGGAGCTCTTCAAGATTTGTGATCCAAAGGAGTGCATAGGTGTTCACTGCACCACACCCAAGTGTGCTGAAGAGCAAAGCGGAATTACCTTTCTCTAGCTTTCAGCAGGGGGCGCTCTCAGTTTCCACAAAGACCACGTAACTGGCGGATAGGAATACCTGGTGCAGGTAGAAACTTAGATATATAACCCAGGTGCCAAATGGCTCCTTCGACCAGGGTTACAGTCGCAAAAATGGAATGCCTAGTTGCCGTTTTTGGACCAGGCAGCTCGAAAGTCGTATATTTTTCAATACGGCTTTTTGGTTCCTGAAATTCATTCTGATTGAGCAGATAGATAGAATTCTATAGGATGTGTTGCTAGTGTGCGAAAACAGTCCTGGACCCAAGGATCCCCAGGCATGCACCTCCAGATGGCAGAGACGTCAGCATCTTAACTTGGTTGCAAGTGGACAGTAGCCAGGTGCAAAATGCGCCTGGTGCCTGGCAAATTTCAAAAGCTGGAGGTATCCTCAGCCACCAGGAGGCTGAGCTGAGGTTGGTGTTAAGGTTCTAGTCCTTTGTGTGTGTGGGGGGGTGTCTCCAAGCTTCAAAATCGCTCTCAACGAGATGGTTCATGGTCATGGGGGAAAAACAAATTTTACATGTACACTGTAAGAACTGGGGTCCCCCAAGGAAACAAGTTTGAGGGGGACAGAACTTCATGGGGCGTGTCTCTGTTTATCACCATCAATATTTATACACCATTGTAAAGACCCTGAAGCAATATGTCAGTGATGGAGAACCTCTGGCCCTCCAGATGTTGCTGGACTGCAACACCTATCAGTTGCAGTCAGCTGCAGCCGGTGATCAGAGACGGTGGGAGCTCTGGGCAAAAATGATCTGGAACGATACACGTTCCCCCTTCAGCCCAGGGCTTAAGGCAGGCCTGGAAGACCTGTGGCCTTCCAGGAGCTGTTGAACTCCAACTCCCATCAGCCATTATGGTCAGGGTTGATGGGAGTTGGAGTCAGACAACAGCATCTGAAGGACGGCAGGTTCCCCATCCCTCTGCCAGAACCTGGAATAGAGAGGCAATTATGAATGCTTATGTACATCTGGAAGATCTCCCAGTGTCCCACTTATCTTCAGTTATACCGACTGTTGCCCTTCAGGGTTTTAGATGGAGAAGCTGGGTCCAAGTTTTGTAGGACTATAACTTCCATGATCCTTGGCCATTGTGGCAGAGGGGTGCCGGGAATCTTGGCAAACCTGGTTGGCTGCAGGCTCCCCATACCCACCCAAACGAAAGATGGCAGAGGACCCCCAGGACCTTCTGCAATCAAAGCATGTGCTCTACCACTGAAGCACCGCCCTTTCCCCATGACCGATCCCTGCCTTACTTCCACTTTGCAAGAAAGCTTGGCGTGTCTGTCGGCTGATGAGAGTAAGGACCAAGCAAATGCCTATTCGACTGCAGACCTGAAAGAGGAACTGCCACAGAATATCTGCAAGAAAACGGGTGGGCTGGGTGAAGGAAGTTGCAGGAATCACAGAATTGTAGAGCTGTGGAATTGGAAGGGACCCCAATGGTCATCTAGTCCAACCCCCCTGGAATGCAGGAATCTCAGCTAAAGCATCCATGACAAATGGCCATTTAGCTTCTGTTTAAAAACCTCCAAGGAAAGGGAGTTTAGTTGGAATCTCCTTACTTGTAACTTGAAGCCATGAGTTCAGGTCTTACCCTCCAGAGCAGGAGAAAACAAGCTGGCTCCCTCTTCCATGTGGCAGCCCTTGAGATATTTGAAGATGGCTCTCATATCTCCTCTCAGTCTCCTCTTTCCCAGGCTAAACATCCCCAGCTCCTTCAACTGTTCCTCATAAGGGCAGCATCAGGCAGAGCCACAGTGGGGCGACTGGTCCCCTGCTCACCTGTCTCTAGGCCACGGGTCCAGGTTGTCAAAGGACTCGGGGTGGCAGACTGGGCAATGAGCTGCAGCAAGGCCTGGAAAAGATTCACATATGGAAGGGACAAGGGACTTATGTAAGAATATTTGCAAGCGGGAAAGCTGAGAGTGCCACCCGTTTTCAGAATTGTAGCAAAACAGCGTTGTCTCTGAGGACTCTTCCATGATGAAATAAATTTTAGTTTTCAAAGTGATTCTTGGATTGCAACATCTTTTCTCTCCACCTTACCCTGAGATCCCATTTGCTGACTAACTTTCAGGTGAGACCCTTATCAATGCCTAATAAAAGTTCCAGGCTGCTCCTCAACTGAGAGAGTCTCCCACGTTCAACCCTCCCTTTTGATCATACCAGTTTCGTCCTATCTAGACCCATTTGGGGAGCTCTCTGTCTCAGAAGAGGAAGCCACTCGCTACAAGAGAGCCTTTCTGGAAATCTCATTGTGTTTCTTTGGAGAGCTTTGCGGCGCTGGCCTTGAAGTGTTTGTGATGTGGTCAGAGAGTTAAAACAAGTGTCTATTGTGTGAAGGCACAGAGATAACAGATACAGCACTCATTTTTTATCAGGAAGGAGGTGACAGTCTGTAAATATATTGCTTTTTCTTCTTTTAGCTGCCCTTGACTAGTGGTGGGTGGGGAACTGGGCTGCAACCCCTTAAGAAGCATACCTTTGCTATCAACATACAATTTTGAATGCAGTTCGTAGCCTGAGCAGCCCAGCTCGCTTGTAAATAATCATGCACTTACTGCAAATTGGTATGTGTGGCTGGGGGAGAGATTCAGGGAAGTAACCAAGAACCTCCGCCCCTTTCACTTAGTTCTCCTTTCCTCATTCCTGAAATGAGATTGTGAGCTCCAGAGCAGCATGTGCTATTTTAACTTTGTTTACAGTGCTTGGATGCTAAATATTGGAGGAATTTTTATTACACATTTGCAAATAGAAAGAGGGTTTTTTCAGGCCATGAATGGCCAAACATTGGCACTAGGGTACTTTTGTGTCCAGGTCTGGGGTCTGGGGTAGGCTGTATAAAGAACATAAGATGTTGAATTGGGCAAGTGGCCCAACTAGTCCAGTACAGCATTCAAAATCTGCACCTGCTAACGGCCACTTGCAACCAATTGAAGCTGCCAGGATGCTGCCTGACGTCTCCACCAGCTGGAGGTGTACGCCTGGGGATCCTTGGATCTTAACTGTTTTCCCACACTAGCAATGCGTCCTTCAGAATTCTATCCATTATATTTTATCTACACAAAAAGTCATATACACAACTTTTGAGCCATCTGGCACCAAAGTGGCAACTAGGCATTCAATTCTGGCGACTGTAACCCTGGTCTAAGGAGCCATTTGGTACCTAGCTTATACATATATCTGTGTTTCTAACACTGCTCATGGTGGGGGGGGGAGTTTCAGAGTGAAATCGGGAAAAGCAGCACCTACAAAAGGACATGCATCGTTGCCTCTGCTTGCATGTGGGGAAAGCAATCTGCTGGTGTTAAAAAATCAACAATATTGGGAGCCTGGCGAGAGGGTGAGGTGTTTGTTTGGGGAGCGCTTTTAATGACTCCAGGGATGATATGGCACTTCTTACGGTGCTGAGCCACCCGAGTGCTTCTGCTCAGGAAATTAGTCATCCGCTCCTTTTTTTAAAAAAAAATAAAAGTGTTCATGTTGACTGAAGGATTGGTTCCCAGTGGCAGATAGCAGAAGGCCCGCTCTCTTGTGAGCTTTTAACTTCTGGACACGTCACTCCTAGTCCATTGGGAAGCCTCCTGAAATGGTTTGTTGCTCCTCTCTCTCCCCCCATCTCCCAAATTCCTGCCAATGAAGAGCAGCCGCTGGCTCAGTTTCATAGCAGAAACGCCAGGAAGGACTTTGCTGTGCTGGCCAAGGGGACAAGTGGGCTCTGGATGCAGAAGCTAGCCTCCTGAAAAGAAAATAAGCTTGACTCTGGCAGTTTGAAGCTG